GCTAATACCACAGTGTTTATTATATGGCAGACATGGTCCCATACTTTACTCAGAATAACTCATTTAACCCTCACCAGAACCTTTCTGAGGCGAACTACTATTTTTTATCCTCATGTAACAGAAGAGGAAACAGGCTTAGAAGAATCAAGTCGCAGGACTTCCCTGGCGGTCCAGTGGCCAAGATTCTGCACTCGCAATGCAAGGGGAAAACCATCCCTGGTCGGGGAACTAGATCTCACGCACGTGTCACAACTGAGGGCTTGCATGTCACAACTAAAGATATCACAAGTCTCAACTAAGAGACATGTCTCAACTGGGCACAGCCAGATTTAAAAATAAGAAGAATCAAGTAACTCGCTCGAGGTCACACAGCTCATTAAAGGCAGTGGCAGGGTTTGAACTCGGGAATGAGGCTCTGGAGTTCACACTTAGAACCACCACACAGAACAGCTCACAAAATCAAGGCCCGAGTTCTTTCCACCTCCACTGAGCCCTCAATAACTCCTGGACTCACAAGTTTGCTACTATCCAACAGTCACTCTCAACAAAGCCTCTCCTTCAGAGAGAATACACAGGCTCCTCAGGTGTGACTGGTCTGTGCCAGGCGCCCTCTTTTTAAAAACCTGCCTAGTTCCCCCCCCCCTTCTTTCAAAATAAATGCCCCCAGGGCTCTTGCTACCTCAGGGGCCTCACTCTCAGAATTCACCTTGTCTCTTTTATCCACCACCTCTTCTCTTCTCTCTCTTCAACCTCAACCCATTAGCCTGTTCTAATATACTACCCGCAAAAAAAAAAAAAAGACCCAAATCTCATTTGATCTTCATCCACTTTCAATTCCATAGTTTCAATTTCTGCATCTGTGTAACGAGGACCTTGGACCAGAAGCTCTCTCGGGTCCTTCCAGTTCTGACATCTGCTTCTTACCGGAGAGATTTCCTGGAACAAGTTTAGTTTCTCCACTGTCCCCTGAAGCCCCGAGGTTAATTTTCTTGAGACTCAGCTGGTCCCACAGCCAGCAATACTCTCCTCTCCGTTCATTTCCCAAATCCCAGTTTTCCTAGAAGACACGACTCTAGCCTCACCCAACCCAGAATATTCGAGCTTGAACTCTCCCAGCCTTCGGTTGTGAACCACAGCTGAGTGCTCCACACTGATGGCACCAATCTTTCATCTTACTCTTCCGTGTATCTTCGCTCCCTCGCCTAGATGAAGCTCTCAGCGATCAGGGACCACATCACGCTTCTCTATAACCCTTAAAGACCCTCACTCTAGGTCAGTCGACAATAGCTGCTCAGCCATGCTGGCTGGCTGGCTGAGGGTCATCCTGAAGCTACTAGGGAAACTAGTGGTCAATGGACAAGACTCTCTGGTGTGAAGGAAGACACTCCTAGCGTCCACTCCTCTCTGATAAAACAAATTCCCATCAATTTTTTATTCAAGAGCATCATCCACATTTAGCAATAGGAAAGCCCAGCTAACTTCTTGGTTTTCTTCTGTCTGAATCAGCAATGGTTACAGCCACATTTCCCTCTCAGCCAAACGGAAGTGATCCCAAGCGCTGCAGCTTTCAGGGCTTCTGGCTGATCCGGGTTCTACTTCCACTAACACACATTCTCCATGGTTATTAAGTTCCTTGACGTTTCCACACATATAGCATTATGTTACTTCCTTACACTTGCAACCCAACTTCCAGGAAACATCTGGAATAATATAAGCGAGCTGGTGTTTGATCAAAACGACATCCTCTGCTTTATTCCTTTGGAAGTGACTAATTTCAACCCTGGGGTTTGAAGTGAGCGCACACAGACACGTGTGTTTCAGGAGTTTGCACCAAGACAGATGACACGTCTCCAATGAAAACCTGCAACTATGCTGACCTCCTTGGCCGTAAGAAAGCTAACGAGGCACGGCTCAGACCGGGCCTGCTGTCTCAGCTTGGCAACAATCCTGGCCAGTACTGACGGCTCAAAGCGAATTCCAAGGCTCCTCAAACACAGAATTTTAAACTCAGTTTAACTGTCTTTAATGAATGCTCCACAGCACTGGTGCTCAGCCCTGGTCACTCATGAGAATTATCCCGAGTGTGCTCACGAACACCTTTGGCCCGGCTTCCTTCACCCGCCACCCACCTCCCTTCAAAAATTTCCATCTAACTGGTTTGCAGTGAAATCAACACATCACTTAAAAGCATCTCAGCTATACTGCATGAATGAAGGCGATATTTTAAGTATGATAATGGCACTCTGGCTGTGTTTTCAAAAAGGAGTCTTTGTCAATGGAAAAACTGGTTTAAAAAAAAAAAAAAGATCTCCATTTAGTGAATGGTATTGTACCAATGTGAATTTCCTGGTTTTGTCATTGTGCTAAGGCTCTGTAAGATGCTCACTTTAGAAAAAGTAATGAGAGGCATATAAGGGATTCTCTGAATTATGCTTTGAACTGTTCTCTAAGTCTGAAAGTAATTCAAATTAAAAAGTTTTTAAAAGGGGTCTTCTATTTTTAAAGATACATATGCTTAAATATTCATGAATGAAATAATATGTCTGATATTTCCTGTGAAAGAGACTAGCTGGGGAGGTGGCAGGGAGTGAGTGGGGGGTGTGGATGAAACAGGGGTCTTCACAAGTTGATGTTTGCAGTAGCCAGACAGGACAGTAGCAGTGAGGACAGGAAAGGTCTCAGTATTTGCCTACTTCAGTGTGTGTGTAGTTTTCCACCATCTATACTGGAGTAAAAATTCCCAGGTGATTCTAACACTTACTCAGGCCCAAGAAACCACTCTGGAGTTGAAAGTGTGGTATAATGAATTCTGCCTGTCTGGCACTATCAACTACAAAATACTTTACCCAGATCTTTGACAGTGAGCTAGTCACTTAATCTTTCTTTACCACAATTTCCTAAACTATGAAGTGACAGGTATGGAGTAGAAGACCCCATCAAAAAGAAGAGAGAAAACAATAAAATGTTGATTTATTCTAAAATCTGAAAATTAATGACACAGTTAATGTCTAACACAGTCAAATATGGTAAGGTCTTATGTCTACAGAAGCATTTCCCAAAGAAAGCTCTAAAAAAATACCACTCCTGGGACTTCCCTGGTGGTCCAGTGGTTAGGAATCTGCCTTCCAATAGAGACTCAGGTTCAATCCTTGGTCAAGGTACTAAAATCCCATATCATGCAGGGCAATTGGGCCCACATGCTGCAGTGAGGAGCCTGCATGCCGGAATAAAGATCCTGCATGATGCAACTAAGACCCAACGCAACAAAATAAATACTGTTGTTGTTTTTAGAGAGAGAGAGAGAGGTCAGAGGGTATGTGTACTGTGAAGATGCTAAAGATCAACTTTTTAAAAAGACTATTTATATAAGATGTTAACAGATGTTACCCAAGATAAGGGTTCCAAAATCAAATAAGTTTGAAAAGTACTTATGTTCTTTATTGTAACATTGCTAAGAACTTTTAATAAGATAATATGCATTGGGACTTTCTGAGGATGGTAATAAAATATGCAAAAAGTCTGGCCTTCTTTACATGGAACCAGTTTTACAGAGCTTATCTTGGAAAATAATGCTCTATATCAGTGGTTCCTAAACCCCACATAATGGAGAATCGCATTTGTATCATTCAATAAGTTTATTAAAATAATGATTCACACCACATGCTAGGCCTACCGGAGAGGAGAGAAGAATTCAACACTAAAACTAACAAAAAAACACAAGTGATTCTAATGCATAATCATGTTTGGAACTTCAAGTTCTGCAGACCATAATGTAGCAAAATAAGTCTAATATTGAAAAGGCCACATGCATGCTGACCAATAAAAAAGGTCATATTTAATACTTTTCCATATGAAAGTAGTTAGTCCATAAGAAAAGCATATATGCACACAACATCCTAGGGAGAGTAAATAGTAAAATAATGGAGGTGTTGGTATATTTACATCTATCAGTAGAGCTAACGACTACTTTGTCATCTCAAGGATGTAGTACTTCTATTACTCACTGATCATTAATTTGCAGTGATTCTCCACTTTTCCCCTGTGTGTTTCCTCATGTCCATCTTCTCTTGCCAGAGTCAATGACCAGGACTAATTTGTTAAACTTCAGGAAATGCCATTCACATAGGTAGTTTCTCCAAGTTACAGCTCCTGACCTTTTCTTTATATGACATCACTTCAAGGTATCAGAAGAGAAATTCCTTCTTGATTGAAAATTTTTGACAACATACTTACTTATCCCTTGGTGCTCCCAGAGCCGTGTGATGCGCTGGCCCAGTCAATGATATATTTAAATGCTTAAAAGAAGTACCCACTTATTGTTATTCATAATTATTTAACAAGTGTACCACACACTCTTTCATTTACTAAGTACTTTCATGTGAATTATCTTGTGTCTTCACAAAAACCCTGTGGGTTAAGTAGGCACAAATTGTTTTTATCTAACCAATAAGAATCTGAGCTCTTCCTGCTAACACAGTGAAAAATATAATTGAGGAAGATGTCAGATGCTTTGCTCTCAGAGAAGTGATACTCGATTGGAAAACAAAATATAAGTTACACACAGGAAAGAGCTGAAGTATCAGTCAAAGCAAATTAGTATGGCAGGACTTCACACATACCAACAACAGTTAACATTTACTGAGCAATTTAATCTTCACTCAACCCTTCGGGAAGGTTACTACTATTAGACCCATTTTTCATATGAGGAAACTGAGATCAAGAGAAGGGAGGTAACCTTCCCAAGCAAATAAACGGGGAACCAGGATTCAAACTCCAGATTAGCCCACTCCACAGACCACTCTTCTCCATCACCACATTTTACTGCTGGGAAAGACGATGTTCCCAAAGTCATGGGGACAAATGTCAAGACATTGAAACAGAAAATGACTACTTCCCAGAAAAGTGGGGTCAGTGGTGCTAAACCCCAGGAGAAGAGGACTCAGGAGACATAGGCAATCACAAGACTGAGTCAGCCATGCTACTTTCTCGCGATCCATTACCTCTTTGATTCGTTTCACCAAAGCGTTCTGATCAAAAGCAACGGCCTCGGCGCACTGATGGAGGTGGTCCTGATAGCGGAGACAGAGCTGCAGCACTTGCTGAGAATCCAGTTTCTCCAGTTTGGTGTTTGTTGGGGAAGTCTGGCCACTCAACAGCCCTTCAAAGCAGAAAAAAAGAAGAAAAAAAAAAAAACCCAAATGAAATGAAAAATTACTAGTAAACTTGTGAATAAAGTAGTTTAATAACAAGTTTACTGAAGATAGAGTAAGAGAATTAAATTTAACTTTGCATCTTTTGTCGTGTGCTAGTGACAATCACAGCAACTATCATTTATGGAGCGTCTAGTATGTACCAAGCACTTGGCAAAGAGCCTCTGGGCATTGTTTTTCAGACTTATAATTGCCCAGGAAAGTAAATGATCATTAGCTGCATTTTACAAGTAAGGAACCCAAGATGCAGAGAGGTTAAGTAACTTTCCTAAAGTCACACAGTAAGTGGTTTCTACTAGACACAGCACCTGACCTTATGGCACTACTTTAAGATATTAAGAATACAAATCCCTTCTTGACTAAAAGAACTGTAAAATGGTTGTCTGAGAAACAGAAGAAAAAATATATATAAGGAAACTGTTAGGAGGAAATACAAACATGAAGACTTTTTTTTCATGAACACGTTTAAAAGCTGAGCAGGATGTCCACTAACATGCCATGAGCCTCATCCTTTACGTTTTCTTCCAATATCAGTTTACCTGGATAACTATTAAATTCCCTTAAATTTGAACGGGACTTTTTTTTTTGGGGGGGGTACATTATTTTTCAAAGCCTTTCACAAAGAATTACCTTACCTTTCTTTAAGATGTGTAGACCAGGATAATTATTAGCAGTTACAAAAGATGAAATACCAGTTAAAGAGCTTAAATGACATGCTAAGGGTCACACAACAAAGTCCTGACCAGAACTAAAGTCCCCTGATTTCTGATCAAGGGCTTCCTTCCAACTCAAAGGTTCACAAACTTTTTTGTGTCAGACACTTTGATCCTCCCAGAAATTATTGAGGACCCCCAAGCACTTGTGTATGTAGTTTAAAGCAATATTCAAAGCTGTTAAAAAATTAAAACTGAGCAGGGGGAGGAGAAGGTGAGACGAATTCAGAGTAGCACTGAAACAGGTGCATTACCATATGCAAAACAGATAGCCAGTTAGAAATTGCTGGTGTAACTCAGGGAGCTCAATCTGGTGCTCTGTGATAACCCAGAGGGGTGGGATGGGGTGGAAGAGAGGGAGGGGACATGTGTATACATTTAGCTGATTCACTTTTCTGTATGGCAGAAACTAACAATATTTTAAAGCAACTATACTGTAATAAAAATTTTTAGAAAAAAAGAAAGAACTGGACATGGAACAATGGACTTGTTCAAAATTGGGAAAGGAGTATGTCAAGGCTGTATACTGTCACCCTGATTATTTAACTTCTATGCAGAGTACATCACGTGAAATGCCAGGCTGGATGAAGCACAAAATGGAATCAAGTGGAGTGAGAAGAGTGGCATTCATTTCCGTTTTTGGCAAAAACCACTACAATATTGTAAAGTAATTAGCCTCCAATTAAAATTAATTAATAATAATAACCCCATTATGTGCTAATTTAAATAACATATTTTAAAGGATATCACTATTTTCCCAAACAAAGGAGTGAGAAGAGTGGCATTCATTTCCGTTTTTGTAAGTCTTTTCACTATCTTGGCTTCATAGCAAACAGCTAGAGTCTCAGACCGGCTTCTGCATTTAATATGTTGCTATTTTACATCATGAAGCCTCTGAAAAACTCCACTGTACACTTTTGTTAAGAGGATAAGAGTAATTAACAATCGTCTAAGTATTACTGTGAAGATAGTTTCGACCTCTGAGAATCCCTACTGGGAGCCTGGGGATCTCGGGGACCCCCTTCCACACCCAGAGCAGTACACTCACACCAGAGCCAACGGCACAGCGCGGGTCTGAAATAAACACGACGATGGCACATGCACTGGGCACCATCAGGATGGACTCACACGCATCCGAGCTTGTCTTGGGAAGCCTTCCCCACTCCTGCCTCCCAACCGCCAATGTCAAACCTCCACTGGTTCTGAGGAACTGGGGCGTAAGCCAAGTGCTTCATCCCCTCAAGAAGTTGGAGGCTGACTGACCCGATAGAGCTGTTCCAGAGAATTCTCTCAGCTCCTCCTCTGGCCCGACAGCAGGGTTCAGGCTGCACCCCGCAGGGCCCTGCTCCCCCACCTCCACTGCCGACCCTGGCACGGGACAGCCTGGAGCTCCTCGAAGTCTGCCTCCCCACAGGAGCTTTTGACAGGGTTGACTTTGGCAGAAATAAGGATTTATTTTTCAGATCTGACATTTTTATTGAGATCCTGTGTATACGATCTTGTGTATTCCTTTACCTAGCTTCTCCCAAAGGCAACATCTTGTAAACCTATAATACAATATCACAGTCAGGACACTGGCATGGATACAACCCACTGATCTGCTCAGATATCCCCACTGTACTTGGATGTGTGTGTTGAGCTCTGTGCAGTTTTTTCACATGCGCAGGTCTGTGTATTACTACCACAGTCAGATAGTGAGCCATTCCAACCACAAGAAGTTCTTCTGTTGCTTTTTATAACCACAACTACCCCTCATCCATCCTCAGCCCTAACCACCACTAATCTGTTCACCATTTCTAAAATTTTGCCATTTTCAAAAATGTTCAAAAAGGGAAAAATCCAAAATGCAACCTTTTGGGACTGGCTTTTTTCACTCAACATAATCCCTCAGATTCATTTACTTGTTGCATGTATCAGTAGTTTGTTCATCTTTCTTTCTGAGTAGTACTCCATGGTATGCATCACCCAGAGTCTGGTTAACTATTCACCTGTTGAAGGACATTTGGGTTTTTTCCAGTTTGGGGCAATGACAAACAAAGCTGCTAGGGACAGTTGCCACGCTGGCTTTTCTGTAAACACAGATTTTCATTTCTCTGGGATGAATGCCCAAGAGTACAACTGCAAGACAAAACCAAGAGCACAGTCAGCAAAGACAAGACCGGGAGCTGACTGTGGCCCAGATCATGAGCTCCTTATTGCCAAATTCAGACGTACACTGAAGAAAGGAGGGAAAACCACTAGACCATTCAGGTATGACCTAAATCAAATCCCTTACGATTATATAGTAGAAGTGAGAAACAGATTCAAGGGATTAGATCTAATAGACAGAGTGCCTGAAGAACTATAGACGGAGGTTCATAACACTGTATAAGAGGTGGTGAGCAAAACCATCTGCAAGAAGAAGAAATGCAAAAAGGCTAAACGGTTGTCTGAAGAGGCCTTACAAATAGCTGAGAAAAGAAGAGAAGCAAAATGAAAAGGAGAAAAGAAAAGATATACCCATGTGAATGCAGCATCCCAAAGAATAGCAAGGAGACATAAGAAAGCCTGCCTAAGTGAACAATGTAAAGAAATAGAGGAAAACAATAGAATGGGAAAGACTAGAGATCTCTTCAAGAAAATCAGAGATACCAAGGGAACATTTCATCCAAAGATGGGCACAATAAAGGACAGAAATGGTGTGGACCTAACAGAAGCAGAAGATGTTAAGAAGAGGTGGCAAGAATACACAGAGGAACTATACCAGAAAAATGTTAACGACCCAGATAACCACGATGGTGTGGTCACTCACCTAGATTAGTCATTCCAGAGTGAGAAGTCAAGTGGGCCTTAGGAAGCATCACTACAAACAAAGCTAGTGGAGGTGATGGAATTCCAACTGAGCTGTTTCAAATCCTACAAGATGATGCTGTGAAAGTGCTGCACTCAATATGCCAGCAAATATGGAAAACTTAGCAGTGGCCACAGGACTGGAAAAGATGTTTTCATTTCAACCCCAAAGAAAGGCAATGCCAAAGAATGTTCAAACTACCGCACAATTGCACTCACTTCACATGCTAGCAAAATTCTCCAAGTCAGGCTTTAACAGTTTGTGAACCAAGAACTCCCAGATGTTCAAGGTACATTTAGAAAAAGCAGTGGAACCAGAGGTCAAATTGCCAACAACCGCTGGATCGTCGAAAAAGCAAGAGAATTCCAGAAAAACATCTATGTCTGCTTCACTTATTACGCTAATGCCTTTGACTGTGTGGATCACAAACTGTGGAAAACTCTTTAAAGAGATGGGAATACCAGATCACTTTACCTGCCTCCTGCAAAACCTGTACGCAGGTCAAGAAGCAACAGACAGAACTAGACATGGAAGAAAAAAAAAAAAGAGTCTTATCCAGGACCACAGTTCAGAAGCATCAATTCCTTTGCACTCAGCCTTCTTTATGGTCCAATTTTTATANAGTAGTCATGTATGGATGTGAGATTTGGACCATAATGAAGGCTGAGCACTGCAGAATTGATGCTTTTGAACTGTGGTGTTGGAGAAGACTCTTGAGAGGCCCTTGGACTGCAAGGAGATCCAACCAGTCAATCCTAAAGTAAATCAGTCCTGAATATTCATGGGAAGGACTGATGCTGAAGCTGAAGCTCCAATACTTTGGCCATCTGATGCAAAGAGCCAACTCATTAGAAAAGACCCTGATGCTGGGAAAGGCAGGAGGAGAAGGGGACGACAGAGGATGAGAAAGTTGGATGGCATCACCGACTCAATGGACATGAGTTTGAGCAAGCTCCTAGACATGGTGAAGGACAGGGATGCCTGGCGAACTACAGTCCATGGGGTCCCAAAGAGTCAGACATGACTAAGCGACTGGACAACAACAATTGCTGGGTTGCATGACAACTGCACGTTCAGTATTATAAGTAACTGCAAAACATTTTTCTAGAGTGTCCATACTGAGAAAATGTGGGGTTTTTCAGACCACTAAAATCTCCTAACAAAGTTATCAACAGTCACGCTACTACTGACAAAGAATATAGTTCCAGGAATGTAGACTTGGGAAGAAAGGCACCTAGAGTATTTTGTTGTCAATCCAGGACTGAAGTAGTAAAAGACTGAAGAAGAACTGTGAGAAAAGGAATTAAATAATTTTGTGCCATCAAAAGTGGGCCAGGATTAAAAAAAAAAAAAAGTGGGCCAGGATAACACAGAGACCATAAAGGAAACATTGATATATCCAAGA